TGTGATGAAAGTTATACATTTTCTTGAATTTGCAAACTCCTTTGCGTTATCTTTGTTCCAGCAATTTGGATCTGCCTTCCACAGTTGTCCAATTATCCAGCCTCCAATGAATTCTACAAAGAGAATAGATTGCAACTGTTAGGGTTTATCCTCTTGTGCTAGCAAGAATTATAAAAAACTGTATAGATTTAAAACTCTAGCCAAGTATTTATATAAGCCCAAACGGGCTCGGCCTGGTCCGATCTAATATTTAATTAATCCATTTAATTAAATTCGGTTCGTGAATTAATTAATCCAATTAATTAATTCGGAGTTATAAATAACCAATCAAATTAATTAATTTATCTAACGATTGTTAAATTAATTAATTAACAAATTGCAATCTTTCAATTATCTTTTGTGTGCGACCCATTAGGTTCTCGATCACGATGCCTAGCGACGTGAAATATTATGTTGATCTAATCAAAAATTGATAAATTAAAACACCCTTTTAATTTATTACCAATTCACACTCGTCGTCCCAGATTGATGTCTAGCAATGTATCAGGGCAACACATGTGACGGAAAATATCACATGATATGACAAAACCAAACATGTTCGTTTACCATGAAATTATAATCCCTTCGTCAATATGATCCGATCAATTACGAGATATGGAAGTGTGTCAATCTCGATTAACGATCATATCTTTCATTTTACCATTGAAGTCAATATGAGTCGAAAACTCCTTTTCGACTTATGAGTATACCTTGACGAAGAATTTCGTTATCGACTTAATTGAATGAAATGCAGATCACAATCTTTTACTATCTAAGAGTGACGAATCCTCTATTGCTTATTCACAGCCTTCATATGATTCTTGACATACCCGACCGATGTCGTATTAACGACCCTTGGTAGAGCAACATTCAACACCGTCAAAGCATGACTGTCCTCATATAAAGTACGATAACGACTTTAAGTCGAATGATCAATTTCACTACCCAACGTTAGAGATCAGCCACTGACACTCAGATAGTTAACCATGTGAAATCTCTTAACGGGTCTCCAATATTTCGTTTTATAATAAAACATCCACACGTTCATTTAAATGTCACCACATTTTAGCTTGTGAGATCAGTTACTTACTTCACAAGTAAGAAATGCCACACGTGATTGTCTATCCGTAATAACGATATCTGTATCTCGTTATTACTTACGACCATGAATTGTTCAAGATCTAATGATATGTAGTTTGCATCTCACAATCACAACTCCTTGTGATTAACAAATCACTTAAATTTGAATCTTCAACTCTATTATTTAATATTATTTATCAGAATATTAATTTAAATAAATAATAGATCTTGCCAAAAATAAATGCATTAAACATATTAAAAATATTTACAACCTAAATTGATTGGGTCTAGAACATAACAATTACAATAGTATTAATTTTTATATGTGGTGGCTAAGATTAGTTGACATTATTTACAGATGGGATTGGTTGCAAGCTTTTGCACTCCAGTCATATGATTTTCGTTGACAGTATGATTTATAGCAGATTCAGTTGGTATATGTAATAACCTCATCAAACATGGTCATCTCATCTAACTTTTCTGTTTAAGGATGAATGAGCACATGGATAACTTTGTGGGTGATTTATGTCATCTGCCTTGTCAAAGTGAATAGTTCCCTACATTGTTCAAGTTGAACAGTCATATATATATATATATATATATGACGTGCCATAAATGTCTCTGTGTTTAGTCCTCACTATTCGTATTGTATGTTGCTCCTTCTGTCTCATAAAGATAGTCCCGTTTTTCCTTTTTGTCCGTCCTAAATTGTAGTCCCATTTTTTTATTTGGGAGTGTAGTTAATATATTAGTTTTCTAATACTCCTATTTAATGTTCTTGATTATTGATTGCATTAATCCAAAAGTATATTAGGTAAAATGATAGTAAAATTTATTATTTCAGTAAGTTAAATTTTCTTAATTTGTTTAAAAAATGAAATAGGACTATTTTTATGGGATGAATGGAGTAATAATTAATTATTTTCTTTTTAGATTTATGAGTCTGAAGTACGATATAAATTTTTATAAAGTTCATAAACGTGTGATGAGATGAAAGATCCTTGGCACTCAACAACCACACTCCGACAATTATAAGATATGTTATGGATGAAGAAAGAAATGACCATTCAAATCTTTTGTGTAACGTTACATTTTCTATTGCCTACTTATAGATTTCATGATGTACATTTTTTCTTGTTATGCTTATTTTTATATCTCAAGTAAAGTATGATTTCCTTGCCCATATTAATGCATACTCGAATATAAAATACGTTATGTTACCATGATAAGAAGATTGACGTGGATGACATTTTTTTTTATCTAAAGGAAATAGCACTACCTACCAACACAAAATTGATGCACGACTTACTACAAGAAGTATAAGAATTGAACAATCAAAGTTAAGCATCGCCACCACAAAATGCACTGACACTTCAGAATACATCTCCTTTTGTCAATGGAGTTATCTCAGGTATTGTGTAGTTCCGTAGATACAGGCTTCCCACTTTTGAGGGTGGTTTTAACCCATTGGCTGTTGAGGAATGGATTAGAGATCTTGCGTACTTCTTTCGATGCATTACTTGTACAAATGCGCTTGTATCGGCTAGTCACTAGTGGAAATCTACCTCACATACTAGGATCGAAGAATAGCGGCTTAATCTAACTTGTGTACAGTTTAAAGATGAGGTGATGGCAAAGTACTTTCCACAGGATTCAAGAGACTTCAAGGAATTAGAGTTTCTACAGCTCAGATAGGAAAACATGTCACTTATTGATTACGAGAGAAAGTTTGAGCAGCTTTCCAGGTATGCCTTGTAATTAGTGGATACAGAAGTTAAGAACGTCAGGAGGTTCGAACATGGACCACGCTAAAAAATTAGTATAATTATCATGTCTCATTGTTTCACATCACACCATGAAATGTTGGAAAGGGCTGATGCTATTTTAGACTGTATTTGAGAGAGATGTCCAATGGATCAAAAAGTTATTTGAAAAAATAAAGTGGAATGATTATAACAAGGAAAGACATTACTAGCAGAATTAGAGCCCAATCAAAGAAGTTCTTTTGTTGGGCGAATGGGAGTATTACACCATTTTTAAGTATAATAAACTCATCACATGAGAACGCTTATATAGGAAAAAAATATATGTTTTCGGTGTGGTAAGTCGGGACGCATTGCTTTGAATTATAGGGAGCCTCTATAGAAGAAGGATGATGACCAAGACAAAAATAAAAAAGGGAAGGCCCAAATTTTTGCATTGAATCAACAGGAGGCTGAATAGGATCCAAATGTGATGGTAGATATTTTATTATTTTTTGATGTACTGTTTATGTTTTTTTTTACTCTGGGGCTACACATTCTTCTATCTTTGTATCTTTTGTGGCTATGTCTAGCTCTCATGTATGAAAATGGATAATGTGTTACAGGTTAGCACCTCTCCAGGAAGAACTTTTTGTACAAATCAAAAAATTGAGGCTATTAAGTTAGAGGTTGACGAAAAGTTATAAAGGTAGACCTATTCCTTTAAGATATAACCTTCTAGAGCACCCAAACACAATTGAGTTCGACATATATTGTCAAACCTTTCTAGATAGGTGGAGTGAAAGCTTAAAATCGCAACCAGAGATAGTAAATGAGCTCGAAGATGAGGCTGAGCTTGAGCCCAAACTAAAAGCTCAGGCTGAATCAAATCCAGAGGAAGATTTTGAATAGGAGCATGGGGATGACTTTGGGTTGGAATTAGAGAATGATCACGAGCATGAACCTAAGCCAATAATCGAGATGCACATAGAGTTCGGCCGGAGGCAAAAGATTTCTCCGAATATGAAGCTCCATTAAAGAAGATTCATAGGATTTATAGGGATTAGAAACTTAGATTCCATTTCC